TAGACTAGCTGGCTCTCTCTCTGTTCTCTCTCTGGCTTTCTTGTTTTTCTTCTACCTGGGCGTTTCCAGAAGCCAGCACGCGCTATTCCGATCCAATGTTGTTATTAATCCGTTCAGCCCGGACTTAGCTCTAATACGACACCCTTTTTATTATTCCGTTCGGGCTGATTTAGCTCTAATACGACCCCCTTTTGTAATCCGGCCCCTACATTAAGGAAGCAGAGGGATGCTTGACAACTGAGGGAGTGAGAGAGATAGATGCGACATATACCAGGCTTGTCGGACCTGAAAAGGCAGGTGCATGGACTGCCGCTACCTTGATGCTTGACTCAGGGCCAGTAGTGACGTGTTGGGTGTGCGCATGCCGGTGCCCTTAAGAAACTTGCGTCTCACGGCAAACTAGAGCATGGGAGAAGGTCTGGGGCAGCCGAAATTGGCTAACGAACTTGTTCCGAAGTCTGCCCGCTCTTATTGACTTATTGGTGCCTTGAATTTGTTTGGCTTTGCCTGGAGCCGCGCGTCCTGCATGTAATGCTTGGTTTGCTATGGATCTTTCCAGAGGCATGCTTGAAACAAAGCTTGAAACCCAGCTCGACGCATGGCCTGATACCTGAAGATGTTTTTGGAGCACTTCCTAGGCCGGACATGCACAAACCGAGCCCTTGCCGTCAAAATGTGCTTTGTGCACACAATGGCTGACTGCTCTGCTCTGCTTGCACAGTACGCCTGCGGGAAACCCAGCTCCTCAGGTATCAGTACAGTCGTTCTTTGCGGTTGAACCTCTAGACGCACATCTCAAACAGCGCCTCTAGCATGCTGGCCGACACACTGCCAGAATCTGAAAGATTCCAAGGGCAAAACTGTGATAACTATGGTGAGGAAGCTTGGGCAAAAACTTGAAAGAAAACCATCAGCTTGGTGAGCGCAGCGTGCAGACACAATGGCATGTGTGGCGCTGAGGCCGTGGGTCCCTGTGACCTGTGATGTGGATGCGGCGAACAGAAGAAAGGCCAGACACACAACTGATGTCAGACCGTTGGATCACATTACCCAACTACATCTGAGGGCAGATGTGCTGCCAGATGCCCGTTTTGGTCCGGCAAGCGTGTTGCGTCAAGTTGCATCTAGAAGCTCCAGCATGGCATAGACACCGTACCAACTAATCTCACCATGCTAAGCCGCTAGGAGTACTTGTGGAATAGGCATGGCTTGACCCGGCGGCGCAGGTTCAGAGGTTCAGAGGTTCAGGGGTCAGCAGCACGCAGCATGTGGCGCCAGGACCAGTTCCCCGACCGCTTCGAGGTCTTCGCGAAGCAAGAGGAAATTTGTGTCAAGAGGCGCAGCGTTCAGAAGTGCAGGCAGAATGTCTTGAGGACTGTTGTAGAAGCCTCTCAGACTGTTAGCGTGTATCACAGATTTGCTTGGCGGTGTGGCTTTGGAACTTCGACAGTTGTACCCCTTTTTTGAGGATCGACGGCAGCAGCCGCCAGTGGGGCTTGAACCTTGTGATCCACTGCAAGCCGTTGGCAGAAGCCGAAAAGGACGCCCAACAACTCTCAAGTGGCTCCTGCAAGGCCCTAGTTCAGAAGGTATCCATCCTCAAGCGCCAGCTGCATTTATTATCTGCTTGCCAGAGGCCCGTTCAAGAGTGATGGCAGGAAGATCACGGCTGACCACCTGCACAATCAACTCTTGGAGCAGTAACCTTGTTAACGCAACCGGTTTGCGCACGCCATCCAAGAAGCAGCCTATCCTTCCTTCCTTTAATTCGAACAGCGAGGTGCTGTCCATGTTGAATGGCAGGAATGTTCAACGTTAGGGGTGAGCCCAGCGCTCTGCGACTCTTGAATGCCTTGCAGGACGGTGCAGAGAGGAGGTGCCCAGCGGGACAGTGCAGCTCTAGGCTTAAAGATTCATTGTTTGGGGGGCGACCCTTTTAACACACCCCAAACGCGTACGTACCCTGACACTCAGGCTCTGGGACCGTTGTATAGACTGGGGCAGTCCTGGGATGAGGTGACCAAGGGTGCATGGGGTTCACTCGCCTAGTTGTTACCGGGACATCAAGACCTCAACTGTGAAAGCTGCCGCCACGGGCTTTCTTACATGCTTTGCCCTCCACTCGAATTTCGTAAGGCAATCCAAACCTGCCTTGGTCCTGGATTGAACACGTTTCCTCCTCTCACTCAGCGCAACAGTTTGGGCTGCTTGGAGTCGTTGCGGGCTCTTGATGCTCTTGTTGGTGTGTGTTCGTGCATCCAGCAGCAGGCCGACAGCGGAGAACGCGGAAGTTCAGCAGCAGGCAACGAGCAGCAAAGAAGTGGAGAAGTCTGCAAAGGACAAGGAGCACAGGGCGGTGTAGTGGTTAGGCAGGCATGCAAACATGGGGCCGTCGAGGGTTTGAGGTTTGAAGGGTTTGAGTGTTGAAATTCGCCCACCCAAAGCTTGGCCAGGTCCTCCCGCAAGCTTGCTTGTGCCCAGTACCAGTCACGTTACGTTCATCTTGATTTTGATCTAGACAAGCAAGCTTGCAAGCCCCTGGTGGCGACGTCACTTGGGTAATCTTCGCAAATGAGGTGCTGCCATGCAGAAGATTAACGCAGAATAAGGAAGAGGTCACGGTAGATATTCCCTGTAAATCTTTCTAACTCATCGATGCCTTGGAGACCACCAGTTCCGAGCGGAATTCTGAGCTGCGGTGCTTTTTCAAGAGCGCTGAGAGATCTCGCTGAGCCTCTAGCCACAACAGAAACTCGCTGGCAGCCCTTCGCGTTACTCTTCAGCTAAACCTGGAGGCAAAGGCAGAGCCATTTGGATGCGCGCTCAGGAGGCCAAGGCAGGAGATGTAAAAGAGAAGGCTGCAGACAGCACTGGTGAGAAGTCTGCCGATGGGACGAAACAGGACTGCTGTTGCGGGATGGGTTGCTGGGTAGGCATGCCTGCCTTCACGCGACCGAAAGTTTCTGATGGCTTTTGGCTCGTTTCTGTACGACCTGCAGGATGGCAAAGAAGAGAACAAGGCAGAACAGGCCGGCACAACGGGGTAGCGTGAGACGGTGTTTCGCTGTGGGCTGCCACATTCTGCGGCAGTGTCAGTGTTGCACATCCTGCATCCTGGCCCAACCTTCTTGATTAGAAGGCGCCCGACACCCGCAAGAAGCCGGAGCCCTGAAATCCATGAACCTTGCGCAGCCAGGGCCCTGTGAAGCGGAACTGCAGCCCCCGGATCATGGCCGCTGCTCAGAAGCACTGGATTGGTTGATGCACTTTCGGTTTTCGGGCGGCAGGGGCTTCTTCCAGCATGGTCATAGATCTCAAGTCACGGTTGACGCCAGCGCTGCTGTCCCAGCCACCCCAAACTCATGAAGTTCATTTTCCAACATGCAGCCAGAGAGGGATCACCGCCACACGCTAGAGATGGCCTCTATGCTTCTTCATCTTTATGTTGACAGACTGTACAGCTACAAGCTAGCTGCGACCTGAGGTAAATCTGCCTGCACCTCTGGGGCCCAAGCTGTTCATCCTTGGCGAGCCAGTGCTTCACCGCCTCCAGGCTCAATGCAGAAGGACACTAGGACCGCTAGGATTGCCTGATGCAGTTGCAGAGCAGGAGCACAGTGTTGCGAGTAAGCTGCCAAGGCTACTACACGGTCTATGACTGGGAGCAGAAGCGGCTTCTTGGTCTAAGGGCGGAGTTCAGGAATCGTTTCCAGAAGAGACTACGCGAAAGGCATAAGCCAGTGGGCAGACAAGTTCACAGAGACGTGCTCAAGATCATTCGTGCATCCCGGGATCTTGTTATGACTCCGGGATGTGTAGCGGCGCACGAGGCTTGGAGAGACATGAGCAAACAGAACTTGCACACGATCGCTGGGTTCTGGTACTATATGTACCTAAACCCGCAGCGTCTCGTGACCTTTTGGAGCTCAGGGTGGGCTTCAGCTTGGCGAACACGCAGCGAAATACCATGGACCTCTGACTGAGCTGGCAGATTTTGCTACTGTTGTTGCTGCTGCTACTCTGCCGGCCCCGGTTGTTCATCAGTTTGGATGTTGTAAGTTTCAATAAGCACCTTCTGCGGCATTGCCACTCCTTCGCGACAGTGTTACGTTCAAGCCAAGAAGGGGCAAGATGGCAAGACCGGAGCCACAGCCGAGGACCTGTCCCAGTTGGGTCGGGGCGCTCTGCCGAAGGAGGTTGCACCTTGACTTGAACTCTTCACTTCCAGTTTCCAGTGCTCGAGCCCAGGCTCCCGTGGACCTCACTGCACATGCTTCACTCAGGACATGCTTTTGATGCAGCGGGACATTCAGGCGCAGGGCTTGATGTTGCAAAATTACAGTGTGCCTGAGCTAGCAGAAGCATGCGTACACATTCATTGTCGTTTGGGTATTTTGTGCTGACGTCGCCGCCGTCTAGATGAAGTGGTCCGCAAAACGTGAGCTGATTGTATTGAGTCGCAACATCCGGCAGAGGGCATGTTTTCGTGGCAAGGCAGTGATAAACGATTCGCACGTTGGGGCCGATTTTGCTGCCTGGAATGCTCATCCGGGTTGGGGTCGAGCAATGCCAGTATCCGGCGGTGCCATGTCAGCTCAAGAGCGTACACGCAATGATGCATGATCATGAGTCTCCCGCCACAAGCTGACCTCCCACATCAAAGCTGACAACAGAGCTGGGCCGCATGTGGCGAGCTTGCTAGCCAACGCGATCAATTCAGGCTTTGCATTGCCGCTAACCTGCTTTACCTGTTGATCACACGGCTCGACCGCCAGCGATGCCGGACACCCACTTGCACTTGCCGAATGGCCGGAGTAAGAAGCGCCTTGCCTTACACACCATAGTAGCTCAGGGTGTGAACGCTGGCCAGGGCTATTGTCAAAAGCTTTGGAATTAGGGCACTTGCATTCTGTCGTGCCTTGGTTGCAAGGCCACCCGTCCCCAAGCTGGATCAAGAAGCCTGCTGGGGTGACAGGCACCTTGCTGGGCTTGGGACAAGGGCCGGGCTGGGGTAGACTTGATAGGTTGGGCGGATCCAAACAGAACCCCACGCAGGACCCCTCCAGATTAAACATGATTAACCAAACATAAGAGCCAAATAATCTTTAATCAGCTCTATAAGCCTCCTTCATCTTCCCTGATACTTACCTATTGGGTCTTATGAGTCCTTGTTCTAGTTTGGGGGGGGTCCTCTTAAGATCTTGTGACGATTGCAGTCCTTCAGTGTCTCAAACGCATTTGACGTGATA